CATTCCTCCGCCACACTCCTGGGCATCATAGAAACAGCTTACACCCCCGCATTGCTTTCGGCCCTCGACTCGACCCTGACCAGCATCAGCCTGTCCGGCACTCGCACATCGCCGTGAGGACACACAATGTGTTCCTGTTTTGTCTGCTAGAGACTGCCTCTTTTGTTTGTCTATGCAAAACGAGAAACAATGTGACTCTTGACCCTTTTGTCCTCTTTCTCTTTCTTTATCTGCTGTGTTTCAGTCGTTTCCATCTGACCTTTAGCATGTAGAGTCCACACTCCCCCAGTTCCCCACGACACGAACACTTGTTAATAGCTAAACCATGAACGTCAGCGTTTATGACCCGAGGAAAGGTTGTTGATTTTCCCCCTTTTCATTTGAGTATCCGTGTATTTGCAATGAATGATTTAAGATGCCACTATTAGCTGCTTGTGTGTGACCGACTGCAATGCAAATCGCCTCAACCAACGTGACGAAGAAGGGTGGTTTGTTAAAGAGTAAATGTTTGATTTGTTCGGGCTGGCTGCTGTCTTCATATTAAAAACCCCATGAAGTCAGAAGTGTTAGTTGCTATATATATGCTAGTGTACTCTTAAATGTTGACTAAGCAGCTTTTAGCAGAGATTCTCAATGGAAATTTCTGGGAGTACAGACCAAAATCCAATCACATGCTCAATCAAACACTCGTTCTCCCATCAAATCATGTCCATCTCTCTGAAACTGACCAGGAACTAGCAGATCATGTTTCATGGCTGTGGTGTTATTTAAAAAATGGGCAAACCCTTTGATTCAAGAGTAAAGAAAAGTCGGCACACTGCCACTTCTGCTTCCAAGGAGTCAATTTATTGGACGTTTCGACCCGAAGGTCTTCGTCAGGTTGAGTTCAGTCTTAAAGCAGCCGTGACCCAGAAACTGAAGAGCTACTTTCTGCTTGATCACCGTTTTCCAGTGAAGCAAGAGCGACTGCCCCCATCACAACCTGAAATCTTTGGATCCGAGCCAGAAAACTGCTTGCCGACATCGAGTATCTCGGGTGTCCTCAGCAGAGTGCTGAGCTTTGAGCTTTTATTTATACCTCCATCCTGCGCGGGAACGAGCCGGCGTCTGAGAGGGCTCTCTGTGCCCGTCCTGCCCCAGAAACCAGGCAAACAATCAGCCTCACAATAGCATCTTTATTTCCTTGTTTTTGGGCCTTCCTGTCCTGATCCCGTTGGCAGGATAAGCAGCGGGAGCTCTTCATTCCTGCTGTGTCATGCATCCAAGGAGAAGAAAAGACTCAAAGCAGAGTCATATTCGGCACTTCTGTAGCATTTCCCCCCTGAAGTGCGCTAGTCAAGGTTTCTCGCACCAAAACGTCCGTTTCCACTGTCAATCTTCTTAGCATGAGTTTTCTCAGTGAATTTCGCCTCTAAAAGACTTCTCACTTTGGGGGGTTTCCACTGTGTACAGTACCTAGTACCTGGTACTTTTTTAGTACCACCTCAGTTGAGGTTCCAAGCGTGCCGTACCGATACTAACACTGCAGATCCCTGATTGGTCAGAGAGAATCGCCACTACCGGCGTCATTGGATTTGAGACGCGAGACACCAAACACGCTAGATTTAAATCGTCAGTAACAGCCGCCGCAGTATCAATTGTTCACACTAGTTTTTTAAAGGACTTGCTTTAAAGCTGCAGTCCGTAGCTTTTTTTGGGTTAAAAATGATCCAAAATACATATTTGAGAAAATACACAACCAGCCAGTGTTCAAAACACTCTGCTTGCCGTAGCTCGATTCAAAGCGGTAAGCTTGTGATAATGTTTTTAACTCCAGTGGTACTGGTGGATTTCAGCGGGAGATTCAAGCATATCTTTGAGTCATTACGTCACATCTGCACACACACATCTGCACACACACATCTGTACACACACATCTGTACACACACATCTGTACACATAAAGAAGAGTCTCGGCTAGTAGACTATATTGCGTGTGAGGATGTTGGAGGTGGAGATTTATAGCCTTTTCTCACAGCACTTGATATAATTAAACTTATCAATTTGATGGCGGATCCAGAAAGGTTCAAACGACAATCACCAGTGACAACAGATTCACCCGCTGTAAAATGCAAAAGACTTTGTTCGGACTTTGGAGCGGCTACAGAAAAAAAGAGACTGGAACCGGCCCATGCGAAAACAAGGATACACATTGGAAGGACATTACATGTAGTCACGCAATGCTGACGTTGTTAACATTAACAATTTGAGAACAAAGTATAATTTGCACCAGGGCTGTCAATCTTCCTCTATAATACTATTCGAATTCCATTCCTTATTTTATTTAATATTCGAATAATATTCGAATATTAAATGCTCAAATTCATCCTATTATTAATATTTACGACATTACTCAGGCTTATGGATCGCCAATGCCACTATAGCATGTGGTTGTTGTTACACGTTCTGTCCACTAGAGGGACATCTAACATTACAATAAACATTTTATTCATGCTGAATATGGTTGAAGCGCTACCGATGGTTTTCGGCTAATATCTCCGCTAAAACACCACCAAAAATTCTGAAACTTATATCGTTCGACTAGACGGTTCCAACGAGTTTGGTGCTCGCCGAATCCGTTGAGTTTTCACCGAGATATTTGCGCTTCACGGGCGCTTTTTTACGTTGTTAAACATTTACCATTTTTGACAGTATTGGTATGATGATACAGCGTGGATAACGTGCACAATTGTGTTACGATTCAAAAACGTTATTGTTCATCAGACGAAACAAAAGCATTTCATTTTCACATGTGTGTAAGTCAAGGTGGCGAGAAAGGCAAGATTCCATATAAAAAAAAAATTAATGAATGGGAATAGGAGCAGGCTTCACTCAATGATTAAATTTAAACTTTAAGAATGCTGGCCTGATGATTAGAATATATAACGTTAAACAGGAAAGAGGCCGCACTATGCATAAATTGTTTTATTTGCACAAACGCGTTTCGGCGCGTACCTTCTTGAAACGCGTTTGTGCAAATAAAACAATTTATGCATAGTGCGGCCTCTTTCCTGTTTATATATATAAAAAAATTAAAATATACATAAAAAAACAATATTCGAATAGTAACTTCAGCATTTCGAATAGTATTGATTTTTTTTATATTCGAATTATATTAGAATTTAGGAATTCGTTCCAACAGCCCTAATTTGCACGGTTTTGCGTGATATGATAACTTATAAGAGATTGTTAGATTTAATCAGCGTGATTTACTGCAATGACAGAACCAGACAAAAGTGGATGTTTCTTACTCGTTCAGATGACATTTTCCGGTGAAAATTATTATGTTGGTCATACTTCCAAAAAGAATAATCTGTGATTCTGAATGCCAGTATCGACACCGGCGGTGACTGACACACACACTCTCCTCAAACACTGTGTTCATCCGCGCTGTGCCGTGCCGAGGGTGTCGAAGTACAACTCACGTAAAGTTGATAATTCTGCAATTGCAGATTTCGAAGAGAGATGGCGACAAAGAGGAAAAACTGCGGACTGCAGCTTTAACCGACCATCGCACGCAACTTGAAAAAAGAAATGTCTATATCGTAGTCAGTAGAAGAGGTGGCGGCGCAACAATAATGATCAGTCTGTAATCCCACCCTTTGAAGCGGTACTAAACTGCAGTGGAAAAGCGAGCCGAGTCGTACCACGACAAAAGCGGCAATAGTTGTGCAGGGCAACTACTAACCAATAAAATGAATAGTAATCGTCATTTGATTATTGATTGACGTCTTCGCTGTGTTTGGAAAACTTTTGCCAGTTACGTCACATTACAGTTGTGAATAAACCATTTCTTTGGACAATTATCAAATGAATTGAAGAAATAATGGTCTGATTAATTGATGATTACTGAAATCATTAGTTGAAGCCCTAGTGCAAACTTTGTTTCACAAAAAATAATTTGAACGAAAGGAGCCATATAATATGGCCTTGTAAGAAACATTACGGTCACACTTTAGTTTAGGGTCCACTTCTTATTAATAGTTAGTAAGGTAGTTGTTATTTAGTTTAGGTATTGGGTGGATTACCTAAACTAAGGTAAAATGAAAATTCTGCCATTTACTCACCCTCAAGTTGCTCCAAACCTGTATAAATGATCACAAAAGATTTTGAGGGATGTTGGAAACCAAACAGTCGATGGGCCCATTGTGTTTTTTTCCTACTCTGGAAGTCAGTGTGGCCTATCAGCTGCTGGGTTTCCAGTGTTCTTTTGTGTTCAGCAGAAGAAAGAAACTCATGCAGGTTTGGAACAACTTGATGACAACAGAATTGTTTTATTTTTGGGTGAACTATCACTTTAATCTGCCCAATACCTAAACTAAATAACAACTACCTTACTAATGATTAAAAAGCAGTAATTATGAGTTTATTGAGGCAAAAGGCATAGTCAATAGTGAGAATCGCACATTAGTGACATTTTTAGGTGAACTATCCCTTTAAGAGATGTAGAATAAGGCATTAATATGTACTTTATAAGTACTAATAAACAGCCAATATCCTAATAATAAGCATGCTAATAAGCACCTAGTTGATAGAGAGAATTGGACCCTAAACTAAAAGTGTTACTAATGATTTTTAATAGACAGTTGCAGTCTTGGTGTTGGACTGTTGGTTCAGTGGGTAATGAATATAAATCATCAGAAACCACTATTGCAATCACAAAGGCTTTTCATATGCACAATTTCCCTCATTAAAAACACCTTTCCCCCAAACTAGAGATGCACCGGCCAATGTATCGGCCAGCAACCGGCATCGGCCGATAAAAGCTGAGAAATTTCATATCGGTGCATCTCTACCCCAAACTCTTGTCCGACGCTGATGATTGAGTGAGTGAGTCCAGCGCACACAGAGACGTGCTCATGTTGAAGCGCCGCTGGTGTCTGTCTGTCACTGGTGTTAATGGTCTGAACATTAATAATTTGGTTTATTTGACATCTCTGTCTCTTCTCTGTGTTGATGCAGCCGCAAAACCGGTCAGTACAATGTCCAGAGGAGCAAAGGCCCCGGCAAGGCCCCGTACCAGCGCTGCAGCTCGCAGGACTCTCTGGACGAGCAGGTCATGGTGGACTACTTTAAAGAGCTGGAGATCATCCAGCGCAGCGGAGACGCGGAGACGCAGGAGGACGAGCAGCTGAAGGTGGCCGACGGTGAGAGCGAACCGCGTCAGAATGAGCTGTGACTGTGTTTCACCTGTGGAGCTTCTTACAAAATGATTTCTGGATTATTACATTGAATAAATGTTAAAGGAGTAGTTCACTTCAGAATTAACATTTCCTGATTTACTCTCCCCCACATCATCCAAGATGTTCATGTTTTTCTTTCTTCAGTCGAAAAGAAATTAAGGTTTTTCAGGAAAACATTCCAGGATTTTCTCCATATAGTGTCTTCAATGGGGTCCAACGGCTTCAGTGCAGCTCCAAAGGCTCTACATCAGCAATAATGTCTGGCCCGGCCGCACACGCAGCCAGAGTATTCAGATCACGGCTGGTTCTGAAATAGATTACTCACAATCACTTCGTCTTTAGTGCCTTCAAAATAAAAGTACGAGAACGTTTTTGCAGCAATGTTTTATTTTGAGATGAATTGAGAGCTTTTAATTTGAAAAGTTCTGAACGACATTCAAAAGAGTCTGTGGATCGCTTCGTTACAGAGAAGACACACCGGCTTTGCATTCACAAAACTAGGTCGGATGAACGCATGGTTGTTCCCATTCTTCTTTGTATGCTCTATTTTCGCTGTCAACTTTCGTCTTTACGCTCTTTGATAGTGCCATTTTCTCTCACTAGCCAGCTTAAATGTTAGCATCACTCTGCACACGACGTGTAACTTACCTTCAGCACGCAAACAATACAAAAAAATGCAGTTTAGTACGTGAGGATGCCAAGGAATAGTTCTGAGTGTAGAGGTCCGAAGAGTCCGAAATTCGCGTCTGACATTTTCACACGTTAAAAAATAAATATGACATCATGTTTTGTCAATCACGTTTACACACTGCCTCCGAAACTTTCGTCAGTCATAAAAATATTTGGATCGGGTTCGATTTTCTGCGTTTTTCGCATCCGAAGCGAGCATTGTGAATGGTGTTTTGACAATTCAGAGCCACCGAATGACGAATACGAAAAAACGCATACGGAAATTTCGGACTCGGTGTGCAAGGACCTTAATAGTAGGAATAATTGCAAGGAATAATTTTGAGTGTAAAATAATTATTACAATAAGTTAGGCTCCATTGTGTAACAAGCAAATTATAATGATACACATTTATTATTCACAATATGGAAAGAGGAAATAAAACCTGCTCAAATAAAACTCAAACATGCCATTAATGGGCTTATTCAAGCTTATTCGAGTTATTTTTAGCCGTTCCGCGTCTCCCACATATGTGACCCTGGACTACAAAACCAATGGGTCACATGGGTCAATTTTTGTAAATTGAGATTTATACATCATCTGAAAGCTGAATAAATAAGCTTTCCATTGCTGGATGGTTTGTTAGGACAGGATTTGGCCCAGATACAACTTTGGAAAATCTGAGGGTGCAAAAAAAGCGAAACTCCCCTTTAAAGTTGTCCATTCATGTTCACGATTGTGCTGCACTCACTCACAAAAATAAATGTTTTATATATTTATGGTAGGAAATTTACAAAATATCTTCATGGAACATGATCTTTACTTAATATCCTAATGATTTTTGGCATAAAAGAAAAATCAATCATTTTGACCCATACAATGTAGGCCTACTGTTGGCTATTGCCACAGATACACCCGTGCGACTCGTGACTGGTTTTGTGATCCAGGGTCACATGTGTGTTTTAGCAAGGCGGTCTGTGTTGCAAGTTGGTGAATGAAGATATTTGCCAGGTTACGTGTCACTAATGCTTTATTAATTTATCCAGGGTAAAACCAGGACACCGCCACACAAATGTGGCTTTTTGTTAATGCCTGTCCTACTACAGGATTTAACTCAGAGTAACAGCTCACTGCCAGTTACAAAAGACACTGTAACTGTCACAGGCAATTATAGTTGCATTTTTCATCAATTCTTTCATTTTCAATTTTCAATTTAAGAAATAAATTATCCTTTGACTATGTTCTGGCCCGCCATCTAGCTGCGAATTTTTTTTTTGGCCCCGATGCAAAACTTACTTGCCGACCCCTGACATACACGATCCCAGCCGAGGAACAAGAGTCTTATCTAGCCAAACCATCTGACATTTCCCCTTAAAAAAACAACAAAAAAAACAAACCTTTATATACTTTTTAACCACAAATGCTCGTCTTGGACTAGCTCTGGGATGCGACACACATTACGTAAACACGTTGAAAGGTCACGCGTGTTCCGGTTCAGAAATATAGCGTAGGGCGAAAAACTTAAATTTTTTACCTTTTAATTTTTTTGTTTGACTTAAGCCCCGTACACACCGGGACGAATATCGGCGCGCGTTATTCGTCAGCGTTTTTCAACGCGTTTTTTGTGTTCACACCCAAGCGATTTTCGCTGATGATGAGCCGAGTGAACATGCAAATTCATTCCCTGACATTAGATGGCGCTTAATGTAAAACAGAAATAGTCCTATTTTGTAGTCGCTGTGGCGTTTGTCATATAGTTCTTTATGTTCCGACACCAACGAGACCAGCAGCTCTACATTCATCTGGCCTCGCATCTTCCTCGTCTTATTTCTTCCTGGCAGTGTAGACCATAGATATCCATAATAAAGGCCATTGGCCAGCAGCGCGGACAAGACATCTAGCCTTTATTATGGATATCTATGGTGTACTAGACGCTACTTGGCACATCTTCTTCGCCGTTGCGTATGTGTGCTCGGCAAGACCGTTTTGTGTTTGAGCGCCCCCAAGTTGTGTTTAACTGTAACTTCAGAAGCTCCAGACACGTGAGCAAAAGCGCCAATCTCATTGGTCGGATAGTTTTTGACGCGGCGCGTTAAACCAAAAAAACGAACCCGAGGCGTTTTAAAAAAAATTACGCTTTTACGCGTGGCGTTTTTCGCGTCGGTGTGCACACTCACATTGGCGCCCTTTGTTTAGTCACGAGGCGTTAAACGTCGGCGAATATCGCGCGCGAAATTCGTCCCGGTGTGAACAGGCCTTTAGTCTTTTCACACACTAGGTCTGTACCTCCGGCTACGTCACGCGTGACCTTTCAAGCTGATTACGTCATGTGTGGCGCATCGCAGCTAGTTCAAGATGAACAGTTGTGGTTAAAAAGTGTATATAAATGTTTTTTATTTTTATTTTTTTTTTGTTATAAAATGTCCGCTGGTTTGTCTAGATCAAACTCTTATTCCTCGGCTGGATCGTGTCGAGACTTTGAAGCTGCACTGAAACTCACATCTGGACCTTCGACCCATTGGACCCCATTGAAGTCACTATATGGAGAACAATCCTGGAACGTTTTCCTCAAAAACCTTAATTTCTTTTCCACTGAAGAAAGAAAGACTTTAATATATCTTGTATGACGTGGGGGCGAGTCCATTATCAGGAAATTATTATTCTGATGTGAGCTAATCCTTTAACTTTGGGATATCGCATAAAGAAACGCTGGAGGGAAACACACAAATTCTAAAAAATGATGCACTCAATGGAGTCAGATAATTGTTTTATCCGATAAGAAGACATGCGCATAAAGTACGATGGAAACCGAATAAATCTCTCGATGCGCATCAAAAAAGTCATGTGACTTTGCATGATGGGACGGCATAACTGGAGCAAGCAGTGGGCTGATCTCACTGCACAGGATCTGAAATGTTGTTTTGCTCAATCTGAAATGCCCGAACATCGTCAAATCGGATAGTTGGTGCCAGTTTATCAGGAAGTGATGATTTTGTTCTCTTGGACACGTGGAATGGAAATGCTGCCTTATTCCCAAATGTTTTATGCCATATTACAATTTTGCACAAGTTAAGTTCGCAACTTTGAATGGAAACAGAGATATTGAATCTAATTACATGAGAAGTATCGCATTTAAATTCAAATGATAATTAATCTACACCGTAAAGCAACACTGGTTTACAGCTGCACTTCAGGTTCCATCACTGATATACTATTATAATATTGAATTATTATATATAATAATATTTTAGTTATTTTAGTACTTCAGTACGTTAATTCAAAATACTGCCTTTTTAGCAACTAGCTGAAATAAAATAAGTTTGTTATATTTTACTTCGTTTCAGTTCATGCTTATTTTATTTCAAGTAATGACTTTTTTAGTTTAGTTTGAGTTAACTCTGGGTCATTCTGTCAACTCATTTAGAGGTCCCTGGCTAAAAATTCAGACTTTGATCATTTATTTTCTGGTGAAAGACATGCATAAATGAAGAAGAAAGCCAAAATATTAAATATCATGGATGAGTATTTACTGAGTAATCCACTATTTTATAGAGGAGGGTCAAAATGACAATTTTAAAAACTATTTTAGAAAGATGGCAGCATAATTATTTTATTTTTACACTGAGATTGGTGGTTTTATTAGTAAAATCTCTTGACTTTAGCTATTTTTGTTGCATTATATGCCAATGGTTACATTTTTGGGCACATTATTTGTCCTTCAGACATTCCTCTTTAAATATAAGTATCAGCTGTTTGAAAAATGACCCACATTTGATTTTCCACCATTGAAAAAAATTGGTAAAGTTCAACAATTTACTCACATTTAGATCCGCATTTCTCTGTTAATTAATCATATTGGGCCTTAAATATACAAGAACCAAAAGAACAGTTTGTTAAGAACCAAAATCTAAAAGGATACTAAGATATGTTAAACCCTTCTTGAGTTGCAGGGATGCAGACTTTGGGGAAAACTGTTTTCCTCATGGAACTGTCACCGTTGGCATATAATGCAATGAACATTGCTAAAGTCAACAGATTTCACTAATAGACCCACCAATCTCTAAAATAATGATGCTGCCATCTTTCTAAAGTCATTTTACCCTCCAGTGATTTGGCTTTAAATCTCAGGACAAATTATAAGTTTGACGCCCCCATAGTATATTCAATACATATTTATTAGGGGTGGCACGGTTCACAAAACCCACGGTTCGGTTTGTATCACGGTTTTAGGGTCACGGTTTTCGGTTCTCTACGGTTCTTGTTGTAAATTTTTTTTTAAATCTTTAACACTCCAGAAATGTACTTCAGCATATGATATATAGCTTAATTATCCACAATTTAGGATACAGTATTAAAAAAAAATGTATATCATGCACAAACTGAATTTGACTTGACTTTAAAGGGGTCATATAATGGTACATGCACTTTTACAAGTTGATTGTACTGAAATGTGTGTTGGCAGTGCCTGTACACAACCATCATATAATGATAAAAATCCATCCAGTGTTTTTGTTTTAATCTCCTTATATGTTTTCCCCTGCCTCAAATCAAGGCGTTCGACCGTGTGACGTCACACGCTCGGAAGCCCCTCCCACGATTGTTGATTGACAGCAGCGTTTCAACACAGACCCGCCCTCGCTCGTGAGGGAGCTGTCAATCATAGTCTGCGCGGACCGGCACGGTCATTGTTGATATGCTGGAGCACTGTCTATGAGCAGAATGGCGTCTAAGCGATTGTGGTGTTCTGTTCTTGGGTGTAATAACGAACACAGTCATTTTAATGTTCCTAAATCCGAACCGCTGAAGACGCAGTGGCTGAGTTTGTTTTCGAAGGGAATATTCCCCACGAGCAACGTCAATGCTCTCATGTTTGCGCGAATCATTTCTCACCAGACTGCTTTATAGACGAGGGTCAGTATAAAGCTGGATTTGCTAAGCTGCTGCTCATGAAAAATGGATCGGTAGCTGCTACCAGATATTCGTGTTCCTGCTGAACCTCCAGAAGAACGGAAGTGAGTGTAACGTTTTATTAAACTTTATATTAATATATTAATCTTTGTAAATCGCTAGCTGCACGCTTCACAATGAATGCGTCTAAGGTTTACACTCAGGGTACATTACGGCATGTTTTCTATGTACGACGTTCTCAATATAATTCATAATCCCACGTTTATACTGAACAACGCGTTATGGTTATTGAGTTACAAATGGTGTACACCAGAGCTCTGGTGTACACACAGAACAGAGAGGCGGAGTCAGCAAAGCTCATTATCATTTAAAGTCATATGCACTGAAACGGCGTGCTGAAAACAGAGCTGTTTTTGACCAGGTAAAATAAGTGTTTTCTTACAATACTAATGAGAATTTTTAATTAAAGTATATTACAAACTTTTAATTTAGACCCTAAAGAATCATATTAGCTTATACAAAAATGGCATTATATGACCCCTTTAAGCACATTATTGGGACCATCTCCGAGGAAGTTAGGTGAGATTTTGATACAGCAAGAGAGAAGATATTGATGACATGCTTTTCGTTTATTTGGCAAAAAAAGGAGAATGTGTATCACTATCTCTACAGGAACTTATGTGCATTTTTAGCACACAAAGATTGAAATTAACTCTCATTTATCAAACTGCCAACTTAAGTGTAGAGAGGAACTCTTAAAACTCTGTCTTTTAAATAAGTCGAAATACATGAAACATAATTTACTATAATTAGGCTATAGCAATAGCAAAGGCCATAATCTTAAAGTGAAACATAAGTTCAACCTCAACACAAAAAACAGTCATCAACAATGCTTCTATTCCCTGAGAGTGAGGATACATTTTTTTCAATCCAGCCTTCCTTATCTCTCCCACTTCTCCGCGTGCCGTGACCTGCAGCACTCCATACTCCACCTTTACTGGCGTGTTCGACTTGAACCGGCGCTGCACAGAGCGATTGGATTATGACATCAAAGAACCGCGAGAGTGATTGAAAAGCATACGGAGCCGTCGTGCTCGCGGTACTTTGATGTCATTCACCGATCGCCCTGTGCAGCGCCGGTTCAAGTCGAACAAGCCTCATGTGTATGTCCACACGTCTTATTTCGCGCGAAAAGGAAACACACGTCTAAGGTCACATACGGGCACGAGGCTACAGTGCGCATGCGTCGAACCGTGACAAGCGATCCGAACGGTTCGGGTGTTTTTTCATGTACCGTGCCACCCCTAATATTTATTAATGATATTTAATATTTTGCCTCTTATCATTGTCTTTCTTTAGAAAAAATGTGAACAAAATCATAAATTTGAGCTGGGGAAGTTTCTGAAATGAGTTTGATTTGAGACGGGGTGACCCTGCTGTAAACGGCTTGAGTCATCTGGACTCAGTCTGTGTTGTGGATTACACTCAACAGATTTTTTTCAAACCATTGGTGATTCATTCACAACATTGTTTTGGGTTGCTAAGCTCCAATGTAAAAGTCTTTAAAGATTGTGATGACAAATGGGTTCTTGTACAATTTCATCATGTTTTCTGCTGAGTTCAGCATGCTATGCAAAGCAAGATTAAAACATGACTTGCACTTACACTTCTGCCAGACCGCTGGCACACACAGCACACGTGAACAGCGTCAGCCCTCGAGCAGGGTGTGCCTGGATCCCCAATCCTTAAAGGGATAGTTCACCCAAAAATGTCAATTCTGTCAGTAATTACTCGCCCTCATGTTGTTCCAACCCCGTAAGACTTTCGTTCATCTTCGGGACACAAATTAGGATATTTTTGATTAAATCTGAGTCACACGTAGGCTCACTATTGGCCGACGCTGGTCGTGTGTGTGATGCGTGTGACGTACGACACAGAAGTTACACTACGTGAACTCACTCGAGGCCCACAGAGAAGGAAATGAAGAGTTGAATAAAGACGTTATTTTTGTTTGTTTTTTGCGCACAAAAAGTATTCTCGTCGCTTGATAAACTTAAGGTTGAGCCACTGTAGTCACTCGGACTATTTTAACGATGTCTTTCATAACTTTTGGGCCGGCCAGTTTCGATCCCTTAAGAAGCCTATGGAGGAGTGATCCAGCTCTCAGATTTAATCAGAAATATCTTAATTTTTGTTCCGAAGATGAACGAAAGTCTTACGGGGTTGAACAACATGAGGGAGAGTAATTACTGACAGAGTTTACATTTTTGGGTGAACTAACCCTTTCAGTGTTGAACTTCATATTAAATGTCTTACATTCTCTTTTACCTTTAAATAGAAGGCCATAAAAGGGCTTAGAAATCTTGAATAGCAATTGCAAAATTAGATGGACTGAAATTAGATCTGTCACTTTAAAAATGGAAATAGAGCATTCAAATTGTCTACATTTTAAATGGAAAATTCGACCATAATGGTTGACCTGTTGACTTTATACCAAAAGTTAAAAGTTTTGTAAAATTCTTTCAATTTGTCATAGTTTAACACATACAACTGTACCAGCATGCAGCAAAGTGTTTATGCTACGTTTGAATTTTTTTTTAACCTAAACACATTGCTCAAGGCAGTGTACATGTGGCATTGTTTGTTTATATTCCTCCATGTGTAAGGACAATAGGCGTAACTTACAGGAAGAACCCACAATTAAAACCACAGACCGAGATCATCGTGGACGCTCAGCAGGAATTGTTTGGCCCCGAAAGGAACCGCAAACGGAGACTTCCTCAACTCCTGTGAGCGACTGCATTGTGAAGTTACCGGAAGAGGAAGATATTTCTGTTTCCTCTCAGAGCTAACTTAACGTCTTCCTCCTCACCACGGCTGTGATGGAAATAAAAGGTGTTAAATCACTGAGGAAAATAACAAGAATGATGGCCTTAGTCCAGCTGACAGCGAGTGTCAACATGAATCCCAGAACACCTGGCTGTATTTCACTCGGTGTCAGAGGTGTCCAGGCCATAGACTGTAAAAAAAGATGGACGACGGACTTCACTCTCTTCCATTGTAGAAAAGTGAAGCCGCCAAAGTCCCAATATTGCGCAGTAGAAACGGTTAGTACACTCATTATGCCAGCGTGAAATAAACAGTTATGGAACTGGACCGTTAGAAACAAACTTTGTTGTGTTATTTTCATGTTATCACTGTGAAGCTGCTTTGATACAATCTGTATTGTAAAAAGCGATAAATAAAGGTGACTTGACTGTAGAAATGAAAGCTTATGCTCAAATCTCCTCCCGAAAATACCCCAAAAAGTCAGTTGGTGATCACAGCTGTCAATCATGACGTCACATCCCCGTTTTTATAGCATCAGATAATTAACTAGGACCAAACTTATTTAAAAAAATGAACTCTAAACTTACATCAGCGTGATTTAAAAACTACCTAAAATGTTAGAAAACATCTTTGGAAAAAATGTATTTGAAGTGTAATTTGATTGTTTAGTTTGCCTCACGTCCATTAGACTTCATGGGAGGGCGGGGTTTATGAACTATACTGGGACCAGCCTCCAGGGGGCGATCGAGGCGCTTTGGCTTCACTTTCCAGCACTCGTGCGGCACGCTGGGTCCAGGCTTATCTTCTCTTCTGTCCTGTGTTGTTCTGCAGAGGGGGAGCAGGAGGAGGCGTGGCTGATGGAGGCGGGGCTAGCGACGCTGTTCGACGAATCGGCTTCAGGCGGCGAGGACAGCATCGCTCTGCTGTCGACTCTGACCCGAACGCAAGCGGCCGCCGTGGCGAGGCGCGTGGAAACGCTCAAACAGACGCTACGCAAGCGGAACAAACCATATACTGTCCCAGATGTCCGAGAGATCTTTAAACCATCACCTGATTCACAAAGTAAAGTAAGAAAACGCTGCACATTAGTGCTGTTCCTGCCCCTAATACAGTAGGTCATGTGTGAATGAATGACCACCCGTCTAGAACAAAGATGTATGAACGCATTCCGGTTTGTAATTTAGCTTTCTGAACAGCATCTACAGTATGACCGCATTTACAAAGTCTTGATGTTGTTTCAGGCTCTACTAGAACATGTTTTCCTGCTTGAATGTTGATTATTTCCTCATATTCTCCATTGTTGCGGCTCCTCTCTTCCCAGTCTGTCTGTAACGCTCTGTTTACTTCCTGTCTCTATGAAGCCCCTCCTTCTGAAAAGCACACTGATCCAGCCGACCAATCAGAGCACAGTGTGTTGGATTGGTCAAGTGCTTCGAGTGTGTTTGGGAATTGTCCCGCCCCTTACCATAACCAGAGGTGTAAAGTCCAGGGGTCAGAAAGTAAAAGTCCTGCCATATGTTTATTCCACCCATGCACTCAGCCAACTGATTTGACTCATTAGTTCTGTCTCCGGGCTGAAGAACTGTGCTAATTAGCAGATCCAGGTGAAAACTTTTACTTTCTGAACCTGGACTTTACATCTCTGACCATAACCACCGGTTTAACACACTACAAACTAACTCAACCAGGCCCCGCCCATTTATTCTGCGTATGAATTATTATAATGAGGAATATTGTGACGTGTTCGTTCCCGGAAGAAACTCAAGACTACAATGGAGGCGTTTCAGGAGTTCAGAAACACTGACACTGATATAGAGAAGAACTCCTTTTCAAGCTCAAACAGCAACATTAAAGAAAAATTTAACTTGCACTAGTGTAAATGACGAAGAGCTTTTTAACTGCATAAACCAGTTACCAACCAATGATTTGCTTGACTGGGGTAAATGTAAGAAGAGACATTTTGAATCTGTGAATTAACACAGATCACTGTGCCTGTTTATTCTTCTCCCAAATGGTTTTATTCAGTGTAAAGCATTGACATGTGATAAAGCCTTAGGGTGAAGTTCATGCCGGACGTCCAACTAGTGACCGGAGCTTTCTGACATTTTTTTACAGGCTGTTAACAGTGTCACGAATTACACAGTACTTCCCTATTAATAAACATTTCAGCACAGTGTAATGAATAACTGAGAAAATTCCAGTTTGAAGGATGTGTGATGAACCACAGACGTCATTTACTGTGCCATTTTGAGGAAAGGCATAAGCTGTGATTTATGTTTCTGCTGGACGCTGCACTAAATAATGAATTTTGATCATTCAATTTTGATTAACTTTACATTTACTTAACTAAGCAATGCCTCAGATGCATTCACTGAAGCAGAAGTACCACTGGACATGAACCAAACAAACAAAAACTTAGAAACTAGTGAAATAATTCAGCAAATTTTAAAATGAAATGAGCAGCGTATCAATCTGAGTGAATGTAAGAATGGGCACAAACGAAGCCTTATGATCATGTTCTCCAGTTTGCTCTGAGACACACTCCAGCAAGAACATTTTGCCGTCTGAAGAAAGCAGAGGTGTGGGGGACTCGTGACTTGAGGCGAGTCCTGACTCGAGTAGCACATTTAAAGGAGCATTTCACCCGTGGGAACATTAATCTTTATTGAAAGTGGGTCATACATGTAGTCGAAATGCAACATAAATTTCGAATTTGGTGCGTTCTTGACCGAGGAAAGACAGAAAGTAACTTTAGGGCGCATTTGCATGGAAGACAGCAACTACCACATTGCTCGAGCCAGTCCGGGCTTCTATTCCCAAGACTTTCCAAATCCTCTTCCTCCATATCATATCGAGTACCTTCCGCCATTGTCGTAACTTCACATCTAGCTCCACAGCGCCTGTTAGCTTAGCTTCCAAACAAGATGGTGGATATTGCTTTTAGTTTCTGCAAGTGACGTCCCACCCCCTGATCTGTAATAGGTCTGTAGCGTGAGTGGGTCCCACCCCCTGATCTGTAATAGGTCTGTAGCGTGAGTGGGTCCCGCCCCCTGATCTGTAATAGGTCTGTAGCGTGAGTGGGTCCCACCCCCTGATCTGTAATAGGTCTGTAGCGTGAGTGGGTCACACCCCCTGATCTGTAATAGGCCTGTAGCGTGAGTGGGTCCCGCCCCCTGATCTGTAATAGGTCTGTAGCGTGAGTGGGTCACACCCCCTGATCTGTAATAGGCCTGTAGCGTGAGTGGGTCCCACCCCCTGATCTGTAATAGGTCTGTAGCGTGAGTGGGTCCCACCCCCTGATCTGTAATAGGTCTGCAGCGTGAGTGGGTCCCGCCCCCTGATCTGTAATAGCTCTGTAGCGTGAGTGGGTCACACCCCCTGATCTGTAATAGGTCTGCAGCGTGAGTGGGTCCCACCCCCTGATCTGTAATAGGTCTGTAGCGTGAGTGGGTCACACCCCCTGATCTGTAATAGGTCTGCAGCGTGAGTGGGTCACACCCCCTGATCTGTAATAGGTCTGTAGCGTGAGTGGGTCCCACCCCCTGATCTGTAATAGGCCTGTAGCGTGAGTGGGTCCCACCCCCTGATCTGTAATAGGCCTGTAGCGTGAGTGGGTCCCGCCCCCTGATCTGTAATAGGCCTGTAGTGTGAGTGGGTCACACCCCCTGATCTGTAATAGGTCTGTAGCGTGAGTGGGTCACACCCCCTGATCTGTAATAGGTCTGTAGCGTGAGTGGGTCACACCCCCTGATCTGTAATAGGCCTGTAGCGTGAGTGGGTCCCGCCCCCTGATCTGTAATAGGTCTGTAGCGTGAGTGGGTCCCACCCCCTGATCTGTAATAGGTCTGTAGCGTGAGTGGGTCCCACCCCCTGATCTGTAATAGGTCTGTAGCGTGAGTGGGTCCCACCCCCTGATCTGTAATAGGTCTGTAGCGTGAGTGGGTCACACCCCCTGATCTGTAATAGGTCTGTAGCGTGAGTGGGTCCCACCCCCTGATCTGTAATAGGTCTGTAGCGTGAGTGGGTCACACCCCCTGATCTGTAATAGGTCTGTAGCGTGAGTGGGTCCCATCCCCTGATCTGTAATAGGTCTGTAGCGTGAGTGGGTCCCACCCCCTGATCTGTAATAGGTCTGTAGCGGGAGTGGGTCACACCCCCTGATCTGTAATAGGTCTCTAGCGTGAGTGGGTCCCACCCCCTGATCTGTAATAGGTCTGTAGTGGGAGTGGGTCACACCCCCTGATCTGTAATAGGTCTGTAGCGTGAGTGGGTCCCGCCCCCTGATCTGTAATAGGTCTGTAGCGGGAGTGGGTCACACCCCCTGATCTGTAATAGGTCTGTAGCGTGAGTGGGTCCCGCCCCCTGATCTGTAATAGCTCTGTAGCGTGAGTGGTTCACACCCCCTGATCTGTAATAGGTCTGTAGCGTGAGTGGGTCCCACCCCCTGATCTGTAATAGGTCTGTAGTGGGAGTGGGTCACACCCCCTGATCTGCAATAGGTCTGTAGCGTGAGTGGGTCCCACCCCCTGATCTGTAATAGGTCTGCAGCGTGAGTGGGTCCCACCCCCTGATCTGTAATAGGTCTGCAGCGTGAGTGGGTCCCGCCCCCTGATCTGTAATAGGTCTGTAGCGTGAGTGGGTCCCGCCCCCTGATCTGTAATAGGTCTGTAGCGTGAGTGGGTCCCGCCCCCTGATCTGTAATAGGTCTGTAGCGTGAGTGGGTCCCACCCCCTGATCTGTAATAGGTCTGTAGCGTGAGTGGGTCCCACCCCCTGATCTGTAATAGGTCTGTAGCGTGAGTGGGTCCCATCCCCTGATCTGTAATAGGTCTGTAGCGTGAGTGGGTCCCACCCCCTGATCTGTAATAGGTCTGTAGCGTGAGTGGGTCCAGCCCCCTGATCTGTAATAGGTCTGTAGCGTGAGTGGGTCCCACCCCCTGATCTGTAATAGGTCTGTAGCGTGAGTGGGTCCCATCCCCTGATCTGTAATAGGTCTGTAGCGTGAGTGGGTCCCATCCCCTGATCTGTAATAGGTCTGTAGCATGAGTGGGTCCCACCCCCTGATCTGTAATAGGTCTGTAGCGTGAGTGGGTCCCACCCCCTGATCTGTAATAGGCCTGCAGCGTGAGTGGGTCACACCCCCTGATCTGTAATAGGTCTGCAGCGTGAGTGGGTCCCGCCCCCTGATCTGTAATAGGTCTGTAGCGTGAGTGGGTCCCACCCCCTGATCTGTAATAGGTCTGTAGCGTGAGTGGGTCACACCCCCTGATCTGTAATAGGTCTGTAGCGTGAGTGGGTCCCACCCCCTGATCTGTAATAGGTCTGTAGCGTGAGTGGGTCCCACCCCCTGATCTGTAATAGGCCTGTAGCGTGAGTGGGTCCCACCCCCTGATCTGTAATAGGTCTGTAGTGGGAGTGGGTCACACCCCCTGATCTGTAATAGGCCTGTAGCGTGAGTGGGTCCCACCCCCTGATCTGTAATAGGTCTGTAGCGTGAGTGGGTCCCACCCCCTGATCTGTAATAGGCCTGTAGCGTGAGTGGGTCCCACCCCCTGATCTGTAATAGGTCTGTAGTGGGAGTGGGTCCCACCCCCTGATCTGTAATAGGTCTGTAGTGGGAGTGGGTCCCACCCCCTGATCTGTAATAGGTATCTGTAAGCAGGAACTGCAACACTGAAATCGTCTCAGGGGAAAATGAGGGAATAATGCATGACCTTTCAAAAATATGACTCGGTTTCTAACGATACAAAGCTTAATGCAAATGGGTGAAGTGCTCCTTTAAGGACATGTGACTTGCTTGACTAAATTAATAAAATGACTTGAAAAACAAAAACAATGACTCGAGACTCAACTTGGATTTGAACTGCATGATTCGACAATGACTTTCTAACAACTGTAATTCAACAAAAATTGCGACATCAGTTGATAAACAAAATGCAAGAGTCTGTGTGATTGTACGATGATGCACTTCTATGACAACAAATGAGAAGTAGGAACATCGGGAACACAAGCACACGCAAAACAAGAAAATACAAACATAAACCTAACAATATGACATTTACTATAAAACTAATGTAATTCATGTTTATGCATCATACCTGTGCATTGACCGTCAACTGCGTTACCTTCAACTCTTATAATTGTTGTTATGATAAGTGTTATTATAATAGATGAATATTTATTAGCCGCTGACTTGACTTGCTTGGTTTGTGCACACTGTGTCTTGAACATGTGTGACTTGCTCCAATCTCTGCTAGAGAGTCACATGATCAGTGTTACTGCATTAGTCTCCCTACAAATGCAGAATCTGAAGGGTTAACAGATTTCAGGGGTCTCTGTGTTTATTGCACATATATTGATGAACAAGTTTGTTTTTAACATAACAACAGTTTGCTTCATTCTCTTGTTGTGTGTCACTCTCTTTTTCTGACACCGCAGGATGAGGCCGAATCCACAGACAGAAGTGGGAGCGGGAAACTGGAAGTGGAAGGAATGGGTATGTGTCATGAGTTAAAGCTTGTGTTTCATGGCATTACTCAAAATGCCTTTAACATTTAACTTCAAGGCAGAGTGAATCATAATGACAGACAGTAACACACACACACACACACACACACACACACACACACACACACACACACACACACACACACACACAAATGCTGTAATATCCATTCCTTTTGTTCTTTAAATAAATGTAACATTCAGCGTAACTAAAATGAAACATTTTGCTTTTTATAAAACGTAACCTTGTGTCTAATCATACACTCCTCTACAGAGATACATGCAGAATATAAAGGATTTATTTCTTTCTGAATGTGATCGCCAATAGACCAGTGGAAATAAATACGACAGAGGTGTTGTAAAGTCATTTCTCGTAAGCGTATGAGAATTTTGAAAGTCATTTTTAGTGCTGGGCTATCTTGTTTTACAGTGTTCATACTTTACCCTGGTTCGATCCTGGTTGTCAGGTTTAGAGATTTCACACTCTACATTTGTAAACATTGGGTTAATATACTTATTTACAATGTTAATAACATCAGTTGAGGACACAACTTGTTTCAGATCTATGGAAAATCTCGAGTCTTAAATCAACTGAAACTACAAATGTTTTTCTAGAGCTTTATAATCTCATCACTGAAGGCGTTTGCCATCGCTGCTGAAACTAATCAGAGCCTGTGAATCTTTCCAACTTAAAATAGACACTATTTAGTTAATGATTGGTTGTTGTCTGTTGCTAAACAACTCGCCGTGACGTTCTAGCTCTGCTTTTTCGACACTACTTTGCTCATAATGCAGGGTTAAACGCAGCACTCGTTCACAATTACAGGTGTGAAGCGTTGCTGGAATCAGACATCATCACCTGTTAAAAGCGTCTTTAACCCCTCAGGACATCGGCATAGAGTCGTGCAGTTCTAGTCTGTTGGTAAAACAGCGACTGCCAAATAATGACATGTTTGATTGCTGGACTTTGACTAGCCTGATTTAGTTTAATCAGCAAAGAGTGACGTGAGATCACTCAAGGACACCCTTGCGATTTTGCCCATAAATGTTTGTCATAGTTTCACACAGGATAAAATGTTATTGTGTGTTTATGGTTTGGTTAGGTAACGGGGCGGGGCCTGATGCTGACGCCGAGACGGACATTAACCTGGAGGTGTCGTTCTCCGAGCAAGCGCTTATCTACAAAGAAGGGTTGAAGGTTACCCAGCCCCAGAGCGAGGCGGACGACAGGTTACCCGTGAGTCGAGCGCAGTCGTGTGTGTGTGTGTGTGTGCTGGACCAGTGCTAATCACTCCGACTGGTTGCTTGAGTATAAAGTCTATATATTAAAATTTTTAGATTGAAAAAGAGTGAAAGTGCCCTCTGCTGGTCAGTCTGGGGAACTGCACCCTGCATCACTAGTACTGTTATATTTACTTGTACGATCTGAACACTAACACTAGTATTAAAGGAACTTCAGAATTAAAATTCCCTGATAATTTACTCTCCCGCACGTCATCCAAGATGTTCATGTCTTTTTTTCTGCAGTCGAAGAAAAATGAAGGTTTTTAAGAAAACATTCCAGGATTGCTCTCCATATAGTGACTTCAATGGGGTCCAACGGGTCGAAGGTCCAGATGTGAGTTTCAGTGCAGCTTCAAAGTCTCGACACGATCCAGCCGAGGAATAAGAGTCTTATCTAGACAAACCATCATCATTTTATAAAATAAAAATAAACATTTATATACTTTTTAACCACAAAAACTAGCTCTGTGATGCGACACACATTGCGTAATCACGTTGAAAGGTGACGTAGGCGGAAGTACAGAACTAGTGTTTACAAAGCCAGCGTGCAAAGACTACGGTAAGTCAAGCGCCATTTACAACAAAATTAAAAAAAATAAAATAAAGGTAAACCAACGAATGAGTTTTTCGCCCTACGCTATATTTCTGAACCGGAACACGCGTGACCTTTCAACGTGATTACGTAATGTGTGTCGCATCACAGATCTAGTGCAAGACGAGCATTTGTGGTTAAAAAGTATATTTTGTTATAAAATGTCCGCTGGTTTGTCTAGATCAGACTCTTATTCCTCGGCTGGATCGTGTCGAGACTTTGAAGCTGCACTGAAACTCACATCTGGACCTTCGACCCGTTGGACCCCATTGAATTAGAGCATGATTAGAGACCAGACAGCATGTTTCTACTGTATCCCTTCATTCACTCGTTCTCTTGCTCCTCTTTCGGCCTGTCGCAGGATTTCAGAGTGTCTCAGGATAAGACGGGACAGACTAAAGTAGGCGATCTCTCCGCTGAGGATATGAGGAAAGTTCACAGACTGGTCCTTATCGAGATGAGCGCTCTGTTCGACACGTGTGGAATCGAGGTGAAGGCCCATAAAGCTCTCAAGGTCAAAGTGAGAGGTCAGTGCCTCTGATATGTGTGTAGGAAACATGGAAATGTTGCTCTGTGTAACTTGAATATGAACAGTAAGGTCTGATTATCCATATGTTTATGCAGCTGAATGAGAAATCTTGTGGTGTCATCCGTAGAGTCGGGTTTGTTTGGTGTTCCTCTCTCTACGCTCCTGGATCAGGACCAGCGGAGGATCCCAGGAACCAAAGTGCCTCTCATACTGCAGCAAGTAAGAGAGCATAACGGGACGCTAGCCGAGACCGTAACTCACAGAGCACCACAACTCTCCCTGACATCCCTTGAGATAAGACACACGGGTAACGCTTTAGTTTAGGGTCCAATTCTCACTATTAACTAGTTTATCATGCATATTACTAGGATATTGGCGGTTTATTAGTACTTATAAAGCACATACAGGTCCTTCTAAAAAAATTAGCATATTGTGATAAAGTTAATTATTTTCTGGTAACCACTGTAAACACTTATTTTATTGGTCGGATGAAATATGCTAATTTTTTGAGACAGGAATTTTGGGTTTTCATGAGCTGCATGCCAAAATCATCAGTATTAAAACAATAAAATACCTGAAATATTTCAGTTTGTGTGCAATGAATCTAAAATATATGAAGTTTAATTTTTATCATTACATTATGGAAAATAATGAACTTTATCACAATATGCTAATTTTTTGAGAAGGACCTGTATTAATGCCTTATTCTGCATGATCATATTCTACATCCCTTAATCCACCCAATACCTAAACTTAACAACTACCTTACTAACTATTAATAAGCATTAATTAGGAGTTTATTGAGGCAAAAGTCATGGGTAATAGTGAGAATCGGACCCTAAATTAAAGTGTGACCGAAACATACACATGTGCTATGATTTACACTGCATTATTTTAATATTTTGTATATGATACAACAAATCTGAATGTTACAACTGCCCCGACCAGGATGTCATAGAGAGCTGAGGGTGGACATGTGGACAGCGCCCTAGAAAAACACCCTTTCCCAGTGTGATAAAGCTGTCTTGGAGAGTGAAGCGTAGTGTTTTCAGGAACGCATCTGCCAGATGAGAAGCTCAGGAACACACTGTCATGTGATGAGAACTGTGTTTGTGTTGTGTATGCTACCGTTCAGAAGTCTGGGGTCACCACCCTTTTAAAAAAAGTACATTAATACTTTTATTCATCAAGGATGCATTAAATTGTGACATTAAAGGCATTTATAATGTTACAAAAGATTTCTATTTCAAATAAATGCTGCTCTTTAATGATCTCTGAAGGATCATGTGACTCTGAAGACTGGAGTAATGATGTTAAAAATGCAGCTTTGATCACAGGAATAAATTACACTTTACTATATATTCACATAGAAAACAGCTATTTTAAATTGTAATAATATTTCACAAATGTTACTGTGTTTAATCAGATAAATCAAGCATTGTGAGCAGAAGAGACTTAATTCAGAAACATAAAAAACCGTACCATCCCCTAACCTTTGAACGCTAGTGCACATGCTGTGATTAGCTGATGTATAATAGCACTGATGAGGCTGGATGTGACTTTAAACGTGTGTTTCTCAGCTGATCTCTCACATCGAGGAGCAGGGTTTGGACACGGAGGGAGTCCTCCGGATACCTGGAGCCGCCACCAGAGTGAAGGCAAGTGCTATTTCTGGGTTATTTCTGTAGTCATTTGCATGGTTGTAACACATTTGCTGGCGTGCGTTTCCCAGGCAGTCTGTCAGGAACTGGAACACAAGTTTTACGAAGGCATGTTTCCATGGGAGAGCCTGAAGCAGCACGACGCGGCGAGTCTCCTGAAGCTGTTCATCCGGGAGCTGCCGTACCCCCTGCTGACCGTCCAGTACTTCAACGCCTTCGCCTCCGTGCTGAGTGAGTGAGCGCACCACGGCTGTGTGGTTCATTTCTTCTGTTCAGACGCGAGTAACATGAACACACTGGAGAACCGCTTTATAGTAGAAACTGAAGCTGGAATTTGCCGCCTGAAGTAGAAAAAAAAATCAACTCTGAGTAGAAAAGCGCCCGACGTCATCGCCTTTTTTTCTTTCACTGTCCAATCGAATGAATGTAAAAGTGTTAGTGACGAAAGGTTACAGTTGCTTTGAACATCAGGAGACTGCAATGATGGAGGAGGAGCTTATGGTGGCTGTCGCGGGTTACCCAGAGCTGTGCGACTTCACGAACCGCAACTAACACGGTCACCAAATAGTAAATAAAGTTAATAAAACGCCAATAGATTAGACTGAGGACAGCTGTTTCGGTGGTTGCCTAGCAACATAAAAAAACGCAGCTCTTTTCTAAATGAAAAAAAGTCAACAAAAAAGGCAGTGCTGTGCGCCTCGTGATTTCAAACCTAAAAAACGCGTTCTGTCCCCGATATACTTCAGACGAACTTGAAGAACTAACTGGCGTGACATCATTTCAAACCAAACCAGGCCAAAATAAAGCTCGTTCGAAACCGCTTGCCAAAGTCAACGTTCTGTAAATTTCCCTTGAACTCCCATTGGTTCGTGGCGGTGATGATGTAATAGGTGGGCGTGGCTCTGAGGCTCCGCCCTCTCTGAGGTGTAAATCTTCTCCGGTTCATTTCTTCTGTTCAGACGCGAGTAAAAAACATGAACACACTGGAGAACCGCTGTATAGTAGAAACTGAAGCTGGAATTGTAACTGAAAGCGACACTGACACTGTTTTTCATGTTTAATACAGTAAAACTGCGGCTTTACAGCAATCTACAGTATAAAGTGCTGTATAAATAAACATGACGTGACTGGAGTGCTGAATCACACAGCTGAAAAAAAAAAAAAGAGCTTTGCTGTTAGTATATCGTGGCCTTTAAAGTGTGTGTGATCTGTGTAACTGTGACTGTGTGATCTGTGTAACTGTGATTGTGTGTGGTGTGTTATAGGCTAAACTGTTTTTAGAGATAAAACTATTTACATTCGATAATCATGAAAACAAATCTCAGATAACGGTTGACTAGGTAACAATGTGTAATTAGACCAAAGGTTCATTTTGCGCCGGAGTTCTCCTTTAAGAAAGTCCAGTGATGGTTCATTTCGGTTGTAAAAAAGTTTTTAATTTAGTTAATTTGTATATATATATATATAGCCGCTCTGGAGAAAACCGTGATGTCATCGTCCAGCTCAGTTCAGTTCTCATATAATGGTGTCAATGCAGATCAATAATTATGTGTGTGTTGTGAGCAGAGCTGCCCACTAAGAAACAGCAGCTACAGGCGCTCAATCTGCTGGTGCTCCTGCTGCCAGAGCCCAACAGAGACACTCTCAAGGTACGCCCGCACGCACGCACGTCCCGGACAGAGCCGGCCCACATCTGGAAGACACATGTACCGGATCTGGGCCGACACTGTTGCTGTCCTCACCGGACTGAACCTGAGTGCACTGTGTCTTCCAGGCTCTGATGGAGTTCTTCCACCGGGTGATCGACCGCAAGGACAGGAATAAGATGACCCTGAACAACGTCGCGGTGGTGATGGCGCCCAACATCTTCATGTGCAAGGGCTTCCGCAGTAAGATCAGCGAACAGCAGGAGTTCGCCATGGCCGCCGGCACCGCCAACATCGTCCGGCTGCTCATCCGCTACCAGAACCTGCTCTGGACGGTGCGTCACACCGCACACCTCGCAGATGTGCTCCGCAAGCAGCGCTTTCGTCTCCGGTCACTTTACACAACATTTGAAAATCGAGATGCATTAACTTGAGAAGCGAAATGATTTGGAAAATGTAATATCTCAAGTCGTTTAGCTTGTCAGTGGTAGAAGTCGAGTCAGCTTTATTTCTATAGCGCTTTTTACAATACAGAGATGTTTCACAGCAGCTTTACAGAGATAACAGGAGAATAATGCAACAGAGTTTGTTTCCAGAAGAAAATAGCGTCACAGTCCAGCTTAAAGGAGAACTCCGGCGCAAAATGAACCTTTGGTCTAATTACACATTGTTACCTAGTCAACCGTTCTCTGAGATTTGTTTTCATGATTATCGAATGTAAATAGTTTTATCTCTAAAAACAGTTTAGCCTATAAAGCTAGTATAACGCTAGTGTATTGGGCATGGAGTAATGACAAATAAAAATCGCTTGTTAATACCACTAACAAGGCTGAAAATAGCCCCACACTAACACGGTAGCATAATGAGGGTCCCTACCTTCAAACCGAAGCATTGAGAACTTTGTCAGTGTCCAGACAGTTTAATAAGAAGATATTTTAAACATACAGTCAACTTCGCGTATACAGGCAGAAGCCATCTTTGAAATACAGTCTCTACCAGTCGATCTACGAACGCCGATCCAAGCCTACTGTTCGCGCTCACCTTATCACAACTTATAGCTCGTTCACATCTCACCAGCGCACTTGGATCGGCGTTCGTAGATCGACTGGTAGAGACTGTATTTCAAAGATGGATTCTGTCTGTATACGCGAAGTTGACTGTATGTATTAAATATCTTCTTATTAAACTGTCTGGACACTGACAAAGTTCTCAATGCTTCGGTTTGAAGGTAGGGACCCTCATTATGCTACCGTGTTAGTGTGGGGCTATTTTCAGCCTTGTTAGTGGTATTAACAAGCGATTTTTATTTGTCATTACACTATGCCCAATATACTAGCGTTATACTAGCTTTATAGGCTAAACTGTTTTTAGAGATAAAACTATTTACATTCGATAATCATGAAAACAAATCTCAGATAACGGTTGACTAGGTAACAATGTGTAATTAGACCAAAGGTTCATTTTGCGCCGGAGTTCTCCTTTAAGAAAGTCCAGTGATGGTTCATTTCGGTTGTAAAAAAGTTTTTAATTTAGTTAATTTGTATATATATATATATAGCCGCTCTGGAGAAAACCGTGATGTCATCGTCCAGCTCAGTTCAGTTCTCATATAATGGTGTCAATGCAGATCAATAATTATGTTGAATGTTAAATGTCCCCAACTAAGCAAGCCCAAAGGCGAGAAGAGCGAGTTCTTGTTCAGCGTTTATGTCCGACTAACAGAAGTTTGAAGATCACAACGAGTCTTTTTTGTGTCTCAGATTCCCAAGTTCATCCTGAATCAGGTGCGCAAGCATAACACGGAGAACCAGAGGAAGATGAACCGAGACCGAGCGGTGAAGAAGCTCCTGAAGAAGATGGCCTACGACCGCGAGAGAGCCTCTGACAAACAGGAGAAAAGCAACGAGGTAAATCACACACACACACTGCAGTGAACTGAAGTATAGCGAGACTTCTGCAGGTGTGTGTCAGTGTGTGTGTGTGTGTGTGTGTGTCAGTGTGTGTGTGTCAGTGTGTGTGTGTCAGTGTGTGTGTGTCAGTGTGTGTGTGTCAGTGTGTGTGTGTCAGTGTGTGTGTGTGTGTCAGTGTGTGTGTGTCAGCAGTGTGTGTGTCAGCAGTGTGTGTGTCAGCAGTGTGTGTGTCAGCAGTGTGTGTGTCAGTGTGTGTGTGTCAGTGTGTGTGTGTCATTGTGTGTCTGTGTCTCAGTGTGTCTGTGTCAGCAGTGTGTGTGTGTCAGTGTGTGTGTGTCAGCAGTGTGTGTGTCAGCAGTGTGTGTGTGTCAGCAGTGTGTGTGTGTCAGCAGTGTGTGTGTCAGCAGTGTGTGTGTGTCAGTGTGTGTGTGTCAGCAGTGTGTGTGTCAGCAGTGTGTGTGTGTCAGCAGTGTGTGTGTGTCAGCAGTGTGTGTGTGTCAGTGTGTGTGTGTCAGTGTGTGTGTGTCAGTGTGTGTGTGTCATTGTGTGTCTGTGTCTCAGTGTGTGTGTGTCAGTGTGTGTGTGTCTCAGTGTGTCTGTGTCAGCAGTGTGTGTGTGTCAGTGTGTGTGTGTCAGCAGTGTGTGTGTGTCAGCAGTGTGTGTGTGTCAGCAGTGTGTGTGTGTCTCAGTGTGTCTGTCAGTGTGTCTGTGTCAGCAGTGTGTGTGTGTCAGTGTGTGTCTGTGTGTGTGTCTGTGTGTGTCTGCCTGTGTGTGTGTGTGTGTGTCAGTGTGTGTGTGTGTGTCAGTGTGTGTGTCAGTGTGTGTGTGTGTGTCAGTGTGTGTGTGTGTGTGTCAGTGTGTGTGTGTGTGTCAGTGTGTGTGTGTGTCAGTGTGTGTGTGTGTGTGTGTCAGTGTGTGTGTGTGTCAGTGTGTGTGTGTGTGTGTCAGTGTGTGTGTGTCAGTGTGTGTATCTGTGTCAGTGTGTGTGTGTCTGTGTGTGTGTGTGTGTGTCAGCAGTGTGTTTGTGTCAGTGTGTGTGTGTCAGCAGTGTGTGTGTGTCAGTGTGTGTGTCAGTGTGTGTCTGTGTCAGTGTGTGTGTGTGTGTGTCAGTGTGTGTGTGTGTGTCAGTGTGTGTGTGTGTGTGTGTGTGTCTGTGTGTGTGTGTCAGTGTGTGTGTGTCAGCAGTGTGTGTGTCAGTGTGTGTGTGTCATTGTGTGTCTGTGTCTCAGTGTGTGTGTGTCTCAGTGTGTCTGTGTCAGCAGTGTGTGTGTGTCAGTGTGTGTGTGTCAGTGTGTGTGTTTCAGCAGTGTGTGTGTGTCAGCAGTGTGTGTGTGTCAGCAGTGTGTGTGTGTCAGCAGTGTGTGTGTGTCAGCAGTGTGTGTCAGCAGTGTGTGTGTGTCAGTGTGTGTGTGTCAGTGTGTCAGTGTGTGTGTGTCATTGTGTGTCTGTGTCTCAGTGTGTGTGTGTGTCAGTGTGTGTGTGTCAGTGTGTGTGTGTCAGTGTGTGTGTGTCAGCAGTGTGTGTGTGTCAGCAGTGTGTGTGTGTCAGCAGTGTGTGTGTGTGTCAGTGTGTCTGTGTCAGTGTGTCTGTGTCAGCAGTGTGTGTGTGTCAGTGTGTGTCTGTGTGTGTGTATCTGTGTCAGTGTGTGTGTGTCAGTGTGTGTGTGTCAGTGTGTGTGTGTGTGTCAGTGTGTGTGTGTCAGTGTGTGTCTGTGTCAGTGTGTGTCTGTGTCAGTGTGTGTCTGTGTCAGTGTGTGTATCTGTGTCAGTGTGTGTGTGTCAGTGTGTGTGTGTGTGTGTGTGTGTCAGTGTGTGTGTGTGTCTGTGTGTGTGTGTGTGTGTCAGTGTGTGTGTGTGTCAGCAGTGTGTGTGTGTCAGTGTGTGTGTGTGTCAGTGTGTGTCTGTGTCAGTGTGTGTGTGTCAGTGTGTGTGTGTGTGTGTCAGTGTGTGTGTGTGTGTGTGTGTGTCAGTGTGTGTGTCAGTGTGTGTGTGTGTCAGTGTGTGTGTGTGTGTCAGTGTGTGTGTGTGTCAGCAATGTGTGTGTGTCAGTGTGTGTGTGTGTCAGTGTGTGTGTGTGTGTGTGTCAGTGTGTGTGTGTCAGTGTGTGTGTGTCAGTGTGTGTGTCAGTGTGTGTGTGTGTGTGTGTGTGTGTGTGTGTCAGTGTGTGTGTCAGTGTGTGTGTGTGTCAGTGTGTGTCAGTGTGTGTGTGTGTGTCAGTGTGTGTGTGTGTCAGCAGTGTGTGTGTGTCAGTGTGTGTGTGTGTCAGCAGTGTGTGTGTGTCAGTGTGTGTGTGTGTCAGTGTTTCCACCCAGCTGAATGAATCAGAGTTTGAGAATGTGAGCGACTGAAGCGCACGGCTCCACTCTGACACCCAGTGGACGCGCAGCACAACTGCATGCTGGGACTGTCAGAGCAGTGCAGTCTGGTTATAATTGCACAGACAGGCCGAAAAACTGGATTTAAAGCTCTCAAAGGGTGTTGTTTCTATACACACAATAGATCCTGCAGATACAGTCACATGATTTGATCTATACACACAAAACTACTGTATCATCATTTATATGCATATTTCTAAGGCCCTTTAAATGATCAAATCTCTGCTGTCACTCGATCTCCTCCAGTTCTTCTGTCTCTGACTGATAGTTCAGACTCGTTTATCCAGTAAAGGTGTTTCAGTGTAACTGTACAAACGTCCTCCTTCAGCTCGAGCTTCTCGTGTCTTTCTGGGTCAAATCTGACCCGATTTATCAAGGAAACGCAAGAATAACTTTGATATTGTTAGTAATATTTCACCTGGGCTGAAGCGACTGAGGTTTACTTGATCATCCAGACATTATTTATTAGAAAAATATGATCATCAGGCTTTTGAGGAAAAGCTTTCATCTGTCAATCATCATATGTTTTAAAACTACAGAGCTTTGATCATAAAATTGAGCATCTAAATATCTTACTAAGACATGTTATTGTCAGATGTTGATATTTATATGCATTTAATGAAGTATCTGCTAAACTGTTATAAACATCTCATTGATTTAGATCAGAGTTTACTCTGTCCATTTAAATATCAGCATCTGCAGCAAAGTTGCTCAGTTTGAGTCTGAATACAACTGAGCTGTGTCTTTCCTCCATATTCTGTCTCTATCAGACTGCATGAGCCATAAAGCCCTGATGGATCAAATATGCTACTCAAAAAAAAAAAAAAAAAAAGTTTGTATATGTTTTTGTTATCTAAAGGTTCAATAAACTGTTCCGTTTAAAAAAATAAGTGTTTATTCCACATGTCAGGCTTGTGACTGGGGAATCTGCAGGTGTTTCCCAGGACAGAGTGTGTGTTACTGGAGTACATGTTTGGCTGTGTGTGTGTTCAGGCTGACGGAGGCTTCATACGGGTTCAGGCGCCGCAGTTCTCCATGGTGTCCATGGCCGTCCAGCTGACGGAGGATTTGAAGGCCTCAGATGTGCTGGCACGCTTCCTCAGCCAGGAGAGGTGAGCAAACACACTCCGTCAGAGAGCCGTAAACCGCCTCTCGTGCTGTGACTGACTGCGAGGTGTGTTACAGGTCTGTGTCTGTGAGGAGAGAAGACCTGTGTCTCTATGAGATGGGAGGAAACATCAGTGAGTATCTCAGCCGCACACTCATGCTGAAGGCCATTCAGAACGGGCAGCTAACCGTGCAACTGCGTATAGGTCAATACATAGACTTATCAACATATACTTCCCCGATCACATTGGCCATCTATGCAGCTCATTGAAATGTATTAATCTTACCGTTTAATTTTGTGCTATAAACAGTTTTGGCCACTTGGTGTCCGATGTAAAGCCAGGGGTCGTATTCACGAAACATTCTTAAGAATAAAATACTTTCTTACTGCTGTTTTCCAACTTAGAGTTACAAATATTTGTAGTCCTCAAAACTTTTCTCAATAGGCAAAACTTAAAGTCCCCCCTTATAGTAGTCTATAATTGTATCCCTTAAAACTCATCTTTGATCAAGTTTTTTCCTGTGAAAAAAATAATCTTCATGCCTTAAAATACTTGAATGTAACTCGACACCCTTGCCTCATTTAGTATTCGCGGTTCTATGAATATGCAAATGAGCCCCGCCTCCACTCACTCACTCAGCTCAGAGATCCACTGGTTGACGATCACACGTTGATCTGATTGGTTGCAAGGTCGTTTGTGACGTCAGAAACACCAGCGATTTCACACCGTGTTTTTGAGACTGTCTTTGGTTCACTGCAGTTTTAAGGAGAAAATACTCAGCAATGCTGTCGACTTATGAACTTACACATGGTTAAAGCGTATTAAAAACACCACATAGACACATAAACAACATTAAAAGCTGGATTTCACCACAGGGGGACTTTAAGAAGAATTGTTCTTAAAAAAAATCATCATAAATAACCTCTCAAAGTTAGGATAACCTCCAGCTTGGCTTCAGTTCTCAAAGGTCAAAGATGTTTAATTAATGTATTGGTTAGTTGCAAATATGAAACATTACAATCTAGGAACATATACTCGGAAGTGGCCAGTGCTTTAAGTGGCCCAAAAGAGGTGGCGGTACTCTATTATTTTTTTTTTTTTTTTTTTTTTTTTGCTGACTCCCCTCCTCCCCTGAGGTAACAACAACTATATTGAAGGGGTTTTATATAAACAGCAGTCAACAGACGACCTTATAAAAAATAATAAATCCTTTTATTAGTTTGTGGATTTGCTTTAGCTAGAAAGAGCTACTGAACATAAATAAAATGTACAAAATGTGGATATGAATCCAACTGGAAAAACGCGTGAAAAGATATATTTTGATTAGTCAAATAGCATATAGTGAAGCTCTATAGCCATCTAGTGGTTAAAGTGATTTTTATTTTATTTTAAAACTGCATTTTCCAAAAAATGGCCAAAAATCTTACATTAAACCATGTAAAATTATCCATGTTATCTCCATGAATGAAAGTTAGAAATCTGGGTCTTTTATAAAGTGAATTTGACATAAAATGCTGTTTTTTTTTGTTGTAAAAAGCCTTTTTAAATAAATATTTATTTATTTATAGAAATTTAAAAGATATCATAAATCCTCCAAAAACTGCACAAATGTTGAGTAAAAACATTAATAAACAGAGTAAAATTACATTTGTAAAAAAAAAAAAAAAAAACTTTTATTCTGTTACAAAATTAAATGTTATTGTCTGGGGTATAGAGCATCACAGTCCCGCCCACAGCCCGAGAGAGCTTCGGTGCCGGAAGTAAATTTCCCATTCATTTCTCCCATTGACCTTTTGGGAAAATCCGTATCTAAAGAGTTTTAGAGCATGTCTGAGGATAACCAGCTACGGTTGAACTCATAAGCATACAACATAGAGCACTCGCATCTGACGTGTGTGTGTGTGTGTGTGTGTGTGTGTGTGTGCAGAGGAGAGATGTCTGGATGAAGAGACGTACATCAAAGCTCTCCTGGAGCTCAACCCCAGTGCAGAGTGGGTCATTAAATCTGTCCAGCACTGACCCACAAGCCAATCCGCCCACCACGCCACGTGCCTCACACACCACAGGTGTGTGTCCAACGGGAAACAGCAGCTCTTCATCACCGCGCTGGGACATGAACAATGCGTTTCAACTCTTCATCCCGTCCTCTACCGACACGGCACATCTCTCTCCCGGGACAGAATCCCAAACCAGAACCTACACACACATGCTTTCCACCAGATGCTCGAGTGGCAGTTGTGCATACAGCATTTGTACTAGAAGCCAAAGTTTTGTCAGGTTTATCACACTTCATTGCTTTTGAAGGACAGATTGTTTGATTAGTACTAGAACCAGACGCTAATTTTCCATGTTTTCTCAAAAACCTCACAAAAAATGTCCGGGTCATATTTCACATCAGAAGAAGAGAGAGAGAAAAGAAAAGACTATTCAGATGATTTGCATTGTTTTTGTATTATTTTCATCATGATTAAACACATTACCCTCCAATGTGTCATTACTGTATGCTCGATGCATCTTGAACTTTTTCTTTTGTAATTCTATTTATTCTCATTAGATTAGATTCTCACCACTACTGATGGACTGAAATAAATATATATATTGTATGTATGTATGTATGTATATATATATATATATATACACACTCTATATTGTGTTTTTTGGGGTGAAATATGACCTGGACGTGATCTTTATAGGTTTTGTGAGATGCACCTAGCCACAAATCTCAAATGTCATATATATATATCTCACATGAATAATGGTCTCAGATCATTTAAGAACTGAGGTGCAACTATATTTCATACATTTCTTCCTTAAACGTGATTATATGTGAATGATCTCTTGTAGTATTGTAGCAATCTCTACTTTAAATCAGTCACATGACCATTTCCCCAGTCTTACGTTAGCTCTCACTGCCAATAAAATGTCTCTGTATTACTTGTTCGGTCGCTCCCAGGGATCTTGGATGTGCTTTTATTCATGTTTCGCAATGTTGGAGACAATAACGTTGCTACAAGTCAAGGGATATTATAGATCTTTAAAGGATTCGTGACTCAAATCAAGTTTCTCAGCTAAACACACCTCAAAAAGTACTTCAGTGGAGGGAAACACTTGGCACTTACACTGACCTTCTCTGTTATTTACAGATGTCATTTCAATGAGTAGTTTTGAGCTGTGATTTTTTTTTTTTTAACTTCTACATCAATGGCTGATGTTATGCTTTTACTGTGAACATGGCCGAAAATGACTGTTGCTGTATGTTTTAATGCTTCTAAAATAACCACTAAATGTTTATTTGTAAATAAATGTGTAATTCCTCAACTTTGTCCGCTGTGTTTTATTCTCTGGACTGGTCAGTGATGGTGTGTAGCGTAGAGAAGGAGAATCGTGACATGTTTTGGTCTTCCCAAAAGCCCTTCTGGGATTGGTTACCCGTGTATTACCACCCACTGCTACTTATACCAACCACGGAAATAAGTGCAGTTACTAATAATGTAATAACAAATGATAATTTTGCTGGAAGTGAATCAATCAAAACCAACTTTAGCTGGAAATAACATTATTCAAAATCGCTATAAAGCCAAAACAATCTCTGTTACCGTAAATTGTATGTTTATCTCTGTAAAGCTGCTTTGAAACAATCTCCATTGTTAAAAGCGCTATATAAATGAGGATGACTTGACTTGACTTAGGGTTGCCAACCGTTCCGTATAATACGGAATCGTCCCGTATTTGACACATAGAAGTCTTGTTCCGTATTGAACTGATACGAACTGAAATCCATGACAGACGCATAGCTAGCTTCTAATATATATGTCAGACAGACATGAATGAATTCGGGGACGGGGACTATCTGAGGCCACGCCCGCTCGGCGGGCTCTGACGTGGAGTTGGCTCATTGGTCGCACGTCAGAGGCGCCCGCGCCATTGGATGTGCAGTTGCCGCAGCGCAGCCTATGAGCGAGCCAGACGCTCAATGTGCAGCTGCAAATGCGTTTTGCGTTTTACATAAGGCTTCAGTAAATCGAGGAAAAGGAGTTTCCGAAGACATTTGTAGGCTATGATAAGAAAAACTACAAAATTAAAAATATTATTTTTTTGCACTGGAAAGAACATTCTAGAAGTCTAATTCTATTGAATAAGTTCGCACAAGGCTACAGACAACTGTTGCGTTTTGAATGTTATATGTTGTATTTGTTTAAGTTAAAAATAAAACGTATTATAAACTAAACAAATCCATGGTTCATTGTTGGCAAAATGATCATGATAGCCTTTAAATATATCTATGTGGTTCAGTCTTGTATATTGATTAGGCCTACTTTGCTATTCTATAAATATACATACAGTTGAAACCAGATATTTACATACACTTCAGAAATAAACACAAAAACTTTTATTTCTTTACTGTCATACATTAAATCAGAGTAAACTTTTTCTGTTTTAGATCAATAAATATTAACATATTTTTGGCATTTGTTAAATGTCAGAATCGAGCGAGGGATAATTTTTATGTAATTTTTTTTATCACTTTCATCAAAGTCAGAAGTATACATACACTTCCTTAGTATTTGGTAGAATTGACCCGAAACTGTTTCACTTGGGCCAAACGTTTTGGGTATCCTTCCACAAGCTTCCTACAATAGTTTGCTGGAATTTTGGCCCACTCCTCTTGACAGAACTGGTGTAACTGGGTCAGGTTTGTAGGCCTTCTTGCTCGCAATCGCCTTTTTAGTGCCGCCCACAAATTTTCTATGGGATTGAGATCAGGGCTTTGTGATGGCCACTCCAATACCTTCACTTTGTTGTCCTTAAGCCACTTCGTAACTAATTTGGAGGTATGCTTGGGGTCATTGTCCATTTGGAAGACCCATTTGCGCCCAAGCTTTAACTTCCTGGCTGATGTCTTCAGATGTTGCTTCAATATATCCACAAAATTCTCTTTTCTCATGATGCCATCTATTTTGTGAAGTGCACCAGTCCCTTCTGCAGCAAAGCAGCCCCACAGCATTATACTACCACCCCCATACTTCACAGTTGGGATGGTGTTCTGAGGCTTCAAAGCTTCGCCCTTTTTCCTCCAAATATACCGTTTATCATTATGGCCGAACAGTTCAATTTTTGTTTCATCAGACCACAGGACATGTCTCCAGAAATTAAGATTTTTGTCTCCATGTGCAGTTGCAAACTGTAGTCTGGCTTTTTTATGGTGGTTTTGAAGTAATGGCTTTCTTCTCCCAGAGTAACCTTTTAGCTCATGGTGGTACAGGACTCGTTTTACTGTGGATAATGACACCGTCTTACCAGTTTCAGCTAGCATCTTCACAAGGTCTTTTGCTGTTGTCCTGGGATTGATTCGCACATTTCGCAACAAAAAATGTTCCTCTCTGGGACTCAGAATCCGTCTCCTTCCTGAGCGGTATGATGGTTGTACATTCCCATGTTTTTTATACTTGCGTATTATTGTCTGAACAGATGAACGTGGGACCTTCAGGCATCTGGAAATTGCACCTAAGGATGAGCCACACTTGTGGAGGTCCACAATTCTTTTCCTGATGTCTTGGTTGATTTCTCTTGATTTTCCCATGATGTCAAAGAAAGAGGCTCTGTGTATGAGGTGTGCCTTTATATGCATCCACAGGTGTGCCACCAATTAACTCAAATGGAATCAATTAACCTATCAGAAGCTTCTTAAGCTCAGAATGGAATCATCTGGAGTTTTCTTTTTGTTTAAAGACACAATAAACTTAGTGTATGTATACTTCTGACTTTGATGAAAGTGATAAAAAAATTACATAAAAATTATCCCTCACTTGATTCTGACATTTAACAAATGCAAAAAATATGTTAATATTTATTGATCTAAAACAGAAAAAGTTTACTTTGATTTAATGTATGTCAGTAAAGAAATAAAAGTTTTTGTGTTTTTTTCTGAAGTGTATGTAAATATCTGGTTTCAACTGTAGGCCTAATAAGTTGTATTATAATGTGCAATAATGTATGATAGCATTCAATATTCACCAGAAGTCATCATTTCAGGGGTTATATTTAAAAAAAAAAAAAAAATCCGTGGGGGCATGTGAGAAGCATGTGTAGCTGTAGACGTTTGTTTCTGATGTCCAGCGTGGTTCTGCAGAAGATAACACAGCGTTTCTGAGTCTACATGATGAGGACGTGTTTGCGGCGGTGTGATTGCACAGTAGCTCGTAGCGCGTGTGTGTATTGCTGAAACGGTGTCTGGACGCAGTGTGGTGAGGACAGCTGTCCGGCTCTCATGAGGTCACACACAGCATCCAACATGGCCTTCAGCTGGGCTCTATCTGCAGAGAGAGAGAGAGAGAGAGAGAGAGAGACCCTCAACACAACAAAGAACATTACGATGTTAAACCATATGGCCTGCAGAAGCTCTACACAATTTCTTTATTATTATTTTGTTTTGCTTCACCTGTCCTGTGGTGTCTTTTCCACTGGGTCAGCCAGAAGCCCTTTAGAGTCGCATTCTGGAATATAAAGGATTTCTGCTCGGGAGTGAATGGAATATAAATGTTAGTTGTTTTTTTGTTTTGTTTTTGAGGAATGCTCTGGGTTCAAGACAAGTTAAGCTGACGATTACCACTTATTTGCAGTAATTTACCACCTTTACTGGACGCATAGAAGATTAAAATGCGTTTTTAAAAGTATCACAACATTCCTTGAATGCGTGTCAATATGGTTATGAGTAAAGCTGTAATACAGAAACTGAACTCTGGTCATGGCCATGTGAAGGAATGTAGTACTGTACTTTTGTGATTAGTTAATAATTACTAATTCTTAATATATTAAGTGGCTTTAAGTACTATGTACTTACATCGAAAAATAAATACAATGTACTTATTGTGTTGACGTTGTATTGTAAAGCACTTGTGCTGCTATTGAGGAGTGATACGGGTGAGGTTAGGGACAGGTGTGTGTGGTGCGGGTCGGTTTAAGGGTGGGTTAAGGTGTAAGGGAAGGGGCAACTGTGTAATTACAAATGTACAATGTGAAAACATGTATATGTACACAATAAGTCCATTGGATCAAATTATTAATTTCAATGTAAGTACATAGTACTTAAAGCCACTTAATAGAAAGTGGGACCGTTAATAATGATAATAATCAAATTCAATAATGATTGATTAGCCATTTTATTACTTACTGATGAGTTAGTTAATCCTCTATATTAGTTAATAGTAGTAGCTGAAGTGTTACTGATTACACATGATGGGTGTTACTCAATATTATGGTGTTTGGGAAGTGTCAGACACTGTCGTTCTGATCCAGAAAGTTCCAGTAAGAGTGAAATATTAGCATGAACATCATATACTCACGGCAGGGATCTGGAGGGGTCTTTTGGCCATCCCTCCGTATGTGACCATCGTGCCTCCATTACTGAAATAAAAGAGGATTCATTGATCACAATGAATTTCTGCTAAACTACCCTCAAACCGCAGCACATACGAGTACTTACTCGAGATTAGACAACACAAGTCCTCCGCTCAAGCCTCCTACACAGTTCAGGCCCAGTTTAGGTTTGGGAACCTCCTACAAAAAAGCAATGTCTGTGTTTAAGCAATTCTGCAGAAATCACTGAAACCGAACTGTTGCAGAAGAGCAGAATGCCCAACCTCGAAGACCCGACGAAGCCCCGATGACATCACTTCCTCTTCTGTCACGACATAATCGGCTCCCAGTGACTGAAGCTCATCCGTCAGCTCAGCACAGTTTGGTCTGAGTTCAAGAGATAGTGTAAGAAATCCATTTCCACGTTATAACCCGCGAGATTATCGCACAGAGCTGCTTTAGTAATGCATCCAGTACCGGTCTCTGATGATGTTGATGGTTTTTAGGCCCAGTGCTGCGGCGATCTGAATCACAGCCTGTCCCACTGCGCTGTTCGAGGCGTTCTGGATCACTGTGCAACCTATCGCAACAAATCCTGCACTGTAAAAAATCATCGTGATTTTAACGGTAAAAGACTGTAAAAATGCTACAGTGCAAAACTGTTCATTAGTTAGCAGAAAGTTTCCTTAACATACGGTAAAGAACTGTGATAGATCTAACGGTACATTTAATGTCATTTTACTGTAAAATACCGTTAAATTTACAGTTTTTGAAAGTGAAAAGAACAACTCATTGTATAATTTACAGTGAAAAACACTTACATTTAGCTGACGCTTTTATCCAAAGCGACTTACAATTGCTATATATGTCAGAGGTCGCACGCCTCTGGAGCAACTAGGGGTTAAGTGTCTTGCTCAGGGACACATTGGTGTCTCGCAGTGGATTCGAACCCGGGTCTCTCACACCAAAGGCATGTGTCTTATCCACTGCGCCATCACACCTTCTTCTTAGTTTTCTTAGTTCTTTTCTAATCAGTTATGTACATTAGGGTTTTATGTTACATTTAATGTTGTTAAATTAATGTTTATTGCATTTTTAAAATGTCATGTGTGTTACCATGATAGTGTTTAATGTTTGTGCGAATAACACTGTGCGGCTTCAATATATAATAGTATTAATTAATTTCTTGTGGAAGACTGCTTGTGATGAGCTTTGATTTATCATGTGACTCTCATCATTGCTGTGATGATTGTTGGTTGTCAGTGTATTACAATGGTACAAAACAGATATTAATAATTCAATAGGTTGGTAAGTTATCATTATATCAGATAATGAATTACGGTTTATTACTGTAAATTTTAAGTTAAGTCTGTAAAACCAAAAACGTTGATACCGTAGTTTTGACAGTAAAGTTCTGGTAACCACAGCTGCCAGTTTTTTTCCGTAAAAACAACGGGATTTTTTTTTTTTTTTTACAGTGTGGTCATGGTCTTCTCTCAGTAAAATAGAAATGCTCAACCAAGTTTGCGTTTTCGTACCAGGGGCGAGTGTTTGGAAGTCGCTCAGCATCCTGTAGGCGGTGCAGGGGTTCACGAAGACAGTGGCGGCTCCCAGAAGAGAGATGTCTTTAGGAACAGACATGAGCTCATGCTCTTCACACACAGCGGCTGTCCTCCATGTACCTGACACACAGTGAAAATAAGGGAATAAACCATGACCATTCAAAAATATGACTGGGTTTCTAACGATACAAAGCCTAATGCAAATGGGTGAAGTGTCCCTTTAAGGTTTTGATGTTGAAAAAGTCAATAGCTCCTTACCAAAGCCAGCATCTATGGGCACGACCCAATCACCAGGTCGGAGAGATGTGACATCACTGCCCACCTCCAGCACCTCTCCCACGCCCTCATTCCCCCCCACCGCTGGGACGGGGACCAAGATTGGGTACGAACCTACAGTATGGACACACATAACCCGCTATAGTCAATTCACCATGCTCAATTAGTCATGTTCAGTCTCCATTGCACCAAAGATTAGAATAGAATTTCAATACATTATCTGATTTAAACAGCACTAGAGAGAACGCATATCAGAACAGACATGAAGCCTTTACCCTGGATCATGTTCACGTCTGCAGGATTGACCGGAGCTGCGAGCATGCGGATTCTCACTGACCCATCTTTCACCGGAGGCAACGGCAGCTGCTCCATCCTGAAGACAAACGACCGGTCACAAGTGTCCCGCAGTTAACCCAACGCTCACCAGACAGCAGGACATGCAGTCTACGCTACAATACACCAATGTTTCAAGTGTTTTCAGAGGTTTTTTTTAGTTATTTAATAACAAAATGTGAAAAATGAAGGGGTCCACAGACAGCAAAATAGTGTCGGCCCAGATCCGGCAAACATGGATTCCAGACGTACCAGATGTGGGCCAGATCTGGGCCGACACTATGTTGCTTTCTGGATCGGAATTCTTCAATAATCTCTAATGTAATCTAAAACACCACCAACAACAAAAAAAAAACACCACCAACAACAAAAAACAACAATTTGACTCAGATGCTGGACAATGATTGCCAAGTTCTACCTGTCCATTCACTTGGCCTCGGGCTGAAGTTTGGATGTTACCGTCTGTTATTCATTCATCACAACCAAAAGTCACATTTACATTATAACTAAGTCTAAACATCACTGTAGTACAACGTAAGCCAGACAGCAACACAGTGTGGGCCCAGATCTGGTACAGTACATGAGGAATCCACCAGTTCCAGATGTGGGCCGACACTGTGTTGCTGTCTGGGAATCCACTGCTACGAGTGGATAAAGAGATAGATATGCCCGTACCTCAGAGTATCGATGTTATGCGAGTGTTCTCTGTAAACTACAGCCGAGCAGTGGTGAGTCTCTCTCCGCACGGGACAGCATCTCTGCCGGACTCTAGAGGACCGCAGGACCGTCCCGCCATGGGCAGCTCTGAGCAGACTTCTGATGAGCATGAGTCCTTCTCTTCCGCCGTCCTCTAACTGTGAGTTTAAAGGCTGTCAAGGCTTGTACACTGATGGAAAAAATGTGTACTTCCTTTTAATACTTCTGCTTTCACTCTTTCGGACTGGAAACCACACGTAGTTAACTGATTTTTTTTAATGAAGGCAGTTTTTTTTTCTTCATGCATTTGCGCAACTGCACATTTGCTGAGGGGTACGTGAGATCAGTGTTGGCGCCCGCCACTCATTACAGCCGCGCAATTTGGACCCATGTTACCTTTTATTCAAATAAATAAGCTACAAATTTTGGTAACGCTTCCTTTTACAGTACAGTACAGTACTTACGTGTACTTACCTAGAAAGTACTGGCTAATATAAGGTAAGTACATGGGTTAGGGGTAGGTTCAGGGTTAGTACCTAGTTATTACCCAGTAATTGTAATTGCTATAATAAGTACATAGTAAGTACATGGGTAACAGGACTGTAAAAGGAAGCGTTACCCACATTTTTTAGATAGGCCTACAAGTGACATTTTCTATACGACAGCAAAACTAGGCCTTCTATAGCCAAAGACTTAACTATAGTCTAACTATAAAGTTCAAATGTTATTAAAGGAAAGTAATAAAATAAGAACAAATAAACTTAATTACAAGCAATGGCCAAAAGCTAATTTAATAGAACAAAGATGAAACAGATTAAATAAACACAGCTTTAAGATGTTTAGGTAGGTCTAACAGCCTATTCACGTACGGATATTGAAAAATCAAATGTAAAATAACAGTTATTTATTCCGGGAGGATTTTTGGTGTTATAAATATAATTCATTCTGAAGCAATTTTCTCATCAGTGCTCTATCAGCTTTTACATAGGCTACTTAAATCTGCATATTTGTGATAATTACCCCAGGGCGTTATTTACCTTTATAAATGCCGATTTTTTTTTAAAACGTATTAAATGTATCCCAGCTGACATTTGACTGACATTAAACGTTTAAATGTGGTTGAAATAATGTCAGTTTATGAAAAAACATTAATTTAACGTTAAAACAACATTGAACACCAAATAGTTGAAGTTGTGTTGTTGACTCACTACGGATTCAACATAAAAATATAAAAAAAAATTGAGTTGCACGTCAAATCAACATTATTTTTACAACCATGACTTTTAAACATTTTGTTGAAATATATCAATAGAAAAATAACGTTGTTCCAAAATCCAATTTGCAATCTGATTGGAAAATCTAAACAAAATTCAACGGTTATCCAACACTGGCACCTGACGTTGATTCAACAGTGACTCGACGTTAAAATGCCAGCTGGGATGCATCATCTTTCAAGTCAAATTCTTACATTTAGATCGTGTGAGGAGGAATTGATTGTTAGAGAGGAATCCTGAAGGACTGTACAGGGATCATGCAGGAATCCTGCAGGACAGAATGAAAATCCTACAGGACAGGGCACATTCCTGCAGGATTTGTTATATACCTGTAGGAGTCTTGTAGAATTCCTACAAAAGTCCCACAGGAAAATGATCCCGAAAATCCTCCCGAATGCATTGTGCAGGTCCTGCAGGATTTTTCCTACAGGATGTTTTTGTAAGGGAAAACGGTGCTGTTACCAATGAAATTAAATAATTTACACTGCAAAATTACAACTGCAATAAATAGCCTAATGTTATGAGATTAATGTTTAAATAAATGTTTGAATATACAAGAAAAGAAATGCAATGATTTTTTTTAAACATGAAACTAAACCACCAATATGTTGCGGCAAGTGACTGTCTTAATGAGTGAGTCATTGAGTCATTTATTCAAACGATTCTTTCAAAACACTGAATCATAATCTTCCGTAACAAAACACAGCGCTGATGGTTGTTTTCCTTTGGAACTATTTTCGTCGGTGAAATAGAACTAAAACAGTCAATAATGTGTCTAAAATGTAAGTAACTTAATATTAAATAGGCTACTTGTTTATTGAACTATAAAATTATTGTAACATTTGCAATCATGATCATATTCAGCAAAACTGTTTCCTTTTATGTGTTATGTTAAATAACTAGCTGTATCATGTTATAAATAAAAAACTCAATATTTTTAATTTTTACCTCAGTATGTTCCTTCTGTGAGTTTCTTGTGTGTGTGCTGTTAAGCTCATCTGTTTTTATTTCTCCATGAAAGAAAGTGTCAACAGAACGACCTTGTTACCAGAAACTTCTCAGGAAACTAGGATTACAGTCGTTACCTGAGCCGTTTTGTTTTTATGAAGGGGAAAAGTGAAAGAGAATTTAACTTGCCCAACCGGACAAGTAGCTTAAAAGCTCTTGTGTCAACTAGTTCAACGGCGAGAATGAACGTCACGGGCGGGTGATGTCGCGACCAGGAAAGGATAAAAGCACCGGCGTCAGCTTCGATTTAGCCGAAGCAAGTCGATCACAGGGATGCAGGGAGTATGCCAAAGTGGCGCAGTGTCTCGTTCCCTTCTTAGGGAACTAGGGTTAAAGTCGTAATCTGAGAAGTTCCCTTTCCAGGGAACTCGCTCTGCGTCGATGTCGCTTTGGGAACGAGAATGCCCGAACGCCATACGAACAAAAGCCTGTCCGTGTGAATACTGAGAGCACAACTGAGACAAGACCACCTGTGAACCTGGGGCAGCGCCCTGGTCAAAGTTGTAAAACCAAATGAATGTGAGCGGAGAGGACCAGCCTGCCGCATACCACACCCTGCAGCGATACCTCCTTATATAATAAGGCTTTCTAGCCGCCATACTCCTCCTGGCCTAAAAGCACCACGGAGGAAACCACCCAAAGGGACATGGTAGGCAGCTTACGCCGCCACGTACACCTTCAGTGTGGAAGGGGATAACTATGCGGAAAAACAAACCTGCAGTAACTCCAGCACTGTAATTGGGCAGTTAACTGGACCCCACTGTCAAGATCAGCACTATGAAGTGAAAACCCATCACTTCAATACAGTTTCCTCGTGGAGGGAGCTCTGGAGAGAAGTATGGTCTCCACAGCCTCAGATGAGAGACCTAAGTCTATGAGTTGGGCCCCCTCCGAGGCCAAACCCACAGGTTCCACATCTCTGGGCTGGGGTGAAGGGTCACCCCTCTCACTTGAGAACGAAAGTCCCTCCTGATCGGAATCTCCGAGGGAAAGCCGTCGAGGAGGGACACGAGGTCCGAGAACCAGTCAGCTTGTCTAGTACGGCACTACTAGTAGTAGATTTATTCTGTCCCGGCGGACCTCCTCCAGAACTCCTGGGAGCAGAGTGATCAGGGAAAAACGTACAGACGTAGCCTCGGCCATGTCTATACCACAACGTCCAGCCCCAAGGGAGCTGGTGCATGAGGGAGAACCAAAGTGGACAGTGCGTTTTATCCTGAGACGCAAAAGATCCGCTTGGCCGAAATACCTCCCATATATGCTTCAGCACCCCGGGTGAAGTTTCCATTCCCCGGGCCTCTCAGGGAGAGCTGTTTTCCTTGGGACCACAAGAGGATCTGGTGTGCCAGTTTGTATAGCTGGCATGGACGTAGACCCCCTGATGCTTTATATAAGAGACCAACGATGTTCGTTGTCTGTGAGAACAAGCATATGATGGCCTCAGGTCTGAGAGCAAATGCTTCAACGTTGTGAAGACAGCCATCATTTCCAGGTTGCGACTGTGCCACAAAAGATGATGACTCCTCCAGAGACCCAGAGCTGAGCGGCCTTCCATTACCGCAGAGACACCGCCGTGTGAACATGATCATACGAAGTGGGTTCCCCCTCGGGGAAAACCCCTTGGTCTTGAGGCACCACTGCAGGGGCCTCATGTACAGCAGGCCAAAGGTATAATGTTGGACGCGGCTGGCATCAGGCCCAACAGTCTCTGAAACTGTTCTACAGTGAGTGACTGGCCTAGCTTTATCTCTTTTGCGACTGAGAGGATCATGGCGACACGAGAAGGCGAAAGCACGGCCCTCATTGTCACTGAATCTCATATAACACCAAAAAAGGTGGTCCTCTGTGCTGGAGAAATCACACTTTTCTTGGCATTCATTCTCAACCCCAACTTTTTCATATGAGCGAGAACGGCATCTCGATGCCAAACCGCCAACTGTTCTGACTCTGCTAGGATAAGCCAGTTGTCTATGTAGTTGATAATGCGTATGCCCTGCAGCCTGAGCGGCGCCGGAGCTGCATCTATGCATTCATTGAACGTGTGGGGTGATAGAGCTAGACGAACAGAAGAACCCGATACTGGTATTCTTTGCTCCCGAAAGCGAACCTAAGGAACTTCTTCTGTTGTGGAAGGATGGAAACATGGAAGTATGCATCTTTCAGATCTATCGTGACAAACCAGTCCTCGGATCTGATTTAAGTCACGATCTGCTTCAACGTTAGCATCTTGAACTTGAGTTTCTTGACCGAACGATTCAGAAGGCAGAGGTTGGATGGAACAGGTTGGTTTTGTCATTGGCTGTCATGAGGGCATTATAACATTTTAATGACAAATTCAATGTGTGCCACTGTAGTCGAGGTCAAGAAAAATATTCATGACACAGTTATAATGGCCTCATGACAGCCAATGTCAAAACCAACCACATGACAGTTTAATGTGATGTTAACCCATAAAGCTAAGTGCTTTCTTAAGTTTGATAATTAATCTGCTATGTCATGTTTATGACATATTTATGACAATTTATGTCAAGTTGTCATTACCAAGACATCTCAAACAATGTCATATTTGCATTAAAAATGTCATAATTGAGCGAATGACACTTAATGACAGTTGTCATAAACATGCATAAACCCTCCTTCATATTCATGACGTGTGTCGTGTCATGGTTAAGAAGGTGTCATGTCAGTCTTATGCACACCCCTTCAAGTAAAGTGTTACCAAAAAAAGTTATTCTTGCGTAAAAGATCTACTTTAGCTAATATACTTATAATTATGTGATGATCAGTCTTTACAGATTCAAGTGCCTGAAAGCAGGATTTTAAATTTAGTGAAGATTAAGAAATTTCATTAT